TTAATTTGTTGATTTGTTTTAGGGGACACAAATACCATCTGGGGCCTCCCTTAGCTCAGTCGGTAAAGGCGCAGCTACAATGCAAGACCATGCTGGAGGTGGCTGGGTTCAATTCCCGGTCCGGTCTAGGAATTTTTCGGGTTGGAAAATTTCTCGACTTCCCTGGGCATAGAAGTATGATTGGACTTTCCACACAATTATAGCAATGCAAAAATGGTACAGGCATCGAAAGGTCTCAATTAATAACTGTGGAAGTGCATCTAGAACACTAAGTTGAGAGCACGCAATAAGCTAATATGCGATATGGAATAAGCTTGAAATGCGAAGAAGAAGAAGAAGTAATGCCATCTATTGCACTATAGGTCAAGATGGAGTAATGATGGGCAAAGAAGTTATGATTTAAAAAAAAATGAAATAATATCCGAAGCTTGGTGCAATTACTGTTTACAATAAAAAAGCACTCATGTAAAATTTTGCTAAATCGCACCGATTTCGAGATGTAGCGGTTTGAAAGTAGATATTTGAAAATGGGGGTAGTTTTTGGCCCTTTTTTTTAATGTATTTCGCGGTTCTCCAGTTTCGAAAATATTTTTTTCAGAAAGATCAGAAAATTGTACAATGAAAATGCTCTTGGTGGCTAATCGATATGATCTAAATTATCCGGAATGTGTATGTTTTAAAACAATTTATTTTCTTACAAATACATATTTCACTCGTTAGCATGTGCAAAGAACTTATAATTCCGATTTTTCGAGAATGATTTCATTTATTTTTACATTGTTATATTGATATAGTTGTAATAGAAATCCATACTTTAATTCTTAGTAATATCAACAATTTTCTTTTCATTATTACAGTTAGAAAAGTGTCTGACTTCTATTTGCCTTTCAGAAATAGGAATAAATGAGTGGTATTGTTGAGTTCCTTGAATGGATATAGTCTTTAAGTACTGTTCTTTGAGCTCGTGCTTATGAGGTTTATATTCTTCAGTAGTTGCATAACAAAAGAAAATTTGAGTCAGCTGATCCTCGTTCCGCTTCTGAGCCCAATCGTATAGTTCCGTTGCATTTTTTATCGGATGTTCACGTTCTATAGCAACGTTAAATAAAGGAATGAAGAAGTAAAGTACCCGTTCGGTTTTGGCACGGTTAAATTATGACAATAAAACAAAAAAAAACGTTCGTTTTTGGGACGGGTTTTTGATATTGGCACCAAGTCAAAAACTAACGTATTTCCTTGATTTGTTTTCCGTGCTGAGCACCAATGCTACCGACGTCAAGGAAGCAGGTCCCACACCTGGACCCTACCTATCGAACCATCAACTTATGAACCGGGGACCAACGGCTTTACTTCCCTTCCGAAGGAAAGCGTGATCAGAGATGTTATGCCTCAGAACCAAACGTATTTTGGAAACAATGTATAATTGCTCCTTATCATTAACATTTTTAATAAAAGATTAATTATTAATAACGTCTATGTCATAAAGCTGACTCACGGTGGTTCAAACTCAACGAAATAACAAATCAAATTTCAAAATAAAACTGCTCGATTTTGGCACGTTTTGATTTTGTGACATTTAGTGTTGCTCGGGCTTGTTGTTCAGATCGAATGGGTACTGTAATGGCGAAAATAACTACCTTTTTTTAAAGTCATTTTAACGCTCTTGGGTCATTCGTGACTTGTCCGGGGGTGAGATTTGAACTCGTGACTTTGGCGTGAGAAGTATGGATGCTAACTACTACGCCGGGGTAGCTCCCAACTACTATTTTTCTTTAACTAAACATTTTGGTATTACTTTATGCGTGAAGTAAACGATTTACATAGTTGGAGATGCTTGACGTCAAATATCAGACTCAGTGGTCATTTTATGCGATAATTAAACTTATACGATCATATAAACTAGCAGCTGCGCTATAAGGGGACGCATTTTGCCCGCCATGGGCATTTTACCCCCATTTACCGTAATTAACTGTTTGCATCAATGAAATTGTTAACTTTGGTAGTGTTTAGCGGTACCAGCTGTTTCATGGAAAATAATATCTTGTATGTTTTTCTGCCAAAATTGTTTCTCAATTTTATTTTAATTCAAATTACTTTAAACAGATTTTTGCATCCATTCACAGCATCCATGTCAGCAATTTTCGCTATCATATCTACTAGCGGGTGAAAAATATGGGGGGGGAGGCCATTTTTCTCGCAATGGTAATTTTACCCTCATTACTCCTACTTTTCAAGAATTATTTCCTTATTATGCAATTGAAGTACCCTTAAAGGAACATTACACACCGATCAACTGCAATCACTAAATTGAGGATGTCAATTACGCTATTTGTACCCATCTTTATTTCTCCGAATGTGTAATGTTTACTGTCGCTCGAAAATCGAACGAATAAAAGTAGATATGTAGCAAATATTGGTATCTACTCCATCTCAACACAATATCAATAAAATATGTGTCCCAATACAAAGCCTTTACCGTACGAGAGAAGATATATGCCTTAAAGCACTTCACTCCATGCCCAAAATAAATCGAAAGACAGAGCAAGAACGTATCTACGTTGAATCAACAGGTCCATTTTCCCATTATTCTCCCCTTCCAGCTCGCAGAAAGCTAATAAGTATTCATTTCCCATGCCATATCTTATGGCTTCTCTTTCTGGATTCGCAAACTCTGGAAATTGGAGGCTCGTTTCGAGAATCTGGATGGGTAGGTTTAACAGGGTCATAAAAGAGCTTCATGCTGCTTCCCATGCCCTCGTACCTTCGGAAGAGGAAGACAGTCCAATTCGCGCCCCGGGGCAAAACGCCTGAAACGCATTTTTATAGGTTTCCTTTTTATTCGTGAATTTATCAAGCAGCATTGCTAGTTCAGTACTTAAACTAGCATTTCTGCACAATAAATCCCAGAATTAGCAAGGGAAAAGCTATTAAAAACCACACCGGGCGTTTTGCCCCGGGGTGCATTTCAGCCTGTTATACCCTACAGATTTTTTCCTGTGCATAAGAAGGTGAACGAAAAGGAAAACCTAATCAAGCCAGAATCTAGAATCCAAGTTAATTCAATAATTTTTCCGTACGATCTGAATGTGTGGGGTAGATTCTTCCCGGTGGCCCCATCAACTTGGCTGTGGCGTGCTGCTGGATGATAATACATTAATTCATGTCGCTGGTTTGTTAATACCAAGCAAGTGATCGCTTATGTTGTCTGAAGGGAATATGTTTTGTTGTTGCATAGCTACACGACTGTGTAATATGAAAAGTGCAATTTAAAATTAAAATATGTAGTCATGCCCAGAGCTGGTAAATATCACGGCCGTCATGTGACGATGAGAAAACAAGTCTTTTCACTATCACGAGACGAAACTACCTATAGTTAGCTTTCTTGTCATTTTTCAATGATCAAGCACTCATGAGAATAATTCTTATGTGGTTTTGACATCAACATTTGAATTTGAATTTAAGCAAACAGCCGTGTGTAATCGGTAGAGTGAATACATTATTAAGATTTCCTCGATACAAGTAACTTTAATAGCATTAAATGAGCTAGTAATTACGATGATCACAACACTGTCAAGTTCTGTCATGACAAAAAAATTCAATGAGATTTTTAAGAAAATCTCTATCATCGTTTTCTCATCCGATGATAGTGACAGAAGTATCTCTGTAAATATCGCGTGAGATCTTTCATTGAAAATGACATTTGCCAGCAGGGTTACTTCCACTCACTTGCTATAAAAAATTGTTTTTCAGAATTATGAAATCATTAGATGATATAATTATAATTAGTACTTGTAAGGTACAAGAAGAGTTAAGTATGTGTTTGAAACATAAAACCTGTCAATATTGCTTTCAGTGCGTTGCAATCAGCGATTTTACGATTCATGAGCGTTCACTCAGAGTGATACGATCTCTGATTGTGACGCTCTGCAAGCGAAATTGACAGGTTTTATGAGTCAAACACATACTTTTACACCCTTTTCTTGTTACTACAAGTACAACAAATTGTTACATCATCTAATAATTTCATAATTCAGAAAAAAAAAATTTTATAGCAAGTGAGTGGAAGCAACCCTGTTTGCCAGCCCTGACATGCCTGTAGAGCAGATTGCATTAATCAGTCTAATATCAAATCCAATGATTTCCAGAATAGTGCGCTTTCGAAATTTGCACTTTACTCCTGTCTTTAATAACAGGAAAGTAAACATATTTTTAACTTAAAATTCCTATACCTCACTGGGAATTGAAACTGACGTCTTAAGTATAGTCTTGCATTATAGGTGTACCTTTATCAAATGAGAAAGATCCATGCAATGCACATAAAGGTGTGCCAAATTCAAACGATCTGGATATAGTGGAGAATTCTAAAATTTGATTGCGAAAATGTATGGAAACGGATCGTAACTATTCATATGCTTGTCAAAACTTCAGAAATTGCTCGATTTTTACCTAACCTAGGACTTATTTTTAAAAATGCAGACCGCAAATTGATTCAACTTAAACACATAGAGTTATTCTATCGATCCAGCATACAAACTTCACCCACCCTAATGAGCATAAACTAAAAGAAATGCGAAGCCTCTACGCATCGTCACTCTTAATATTCTAAGGTGTGTCTGTAATAAATCGCTGCATTCCTGGTACACCTGATACCCATTCGTGTCAATAGATGCCAAACACAAGTAGTTCTCAGCTAAATCCATCACTATTCTAACTTTAGAAGTAGTGCACACTAACCGCCCCTCTTTTGCCACAATGACCATCGTTAGGAGTAGCTTCGTAGAAGCTTAATCCCAACTAGCGAGAACTGAGCAGACAGTAAGGCTGTCTTTAATACCATCATAGCACGCATTCACTGAACAATCTCGTTTTACAAAGTAACTATACCAGAATGGTTTCATGCACGTCACCATTCTGCGTCTCCACCCACGTCGCACAGACTTAAAACCTGAATTACAAATTTCCATTAACTGTTAGTTGACTTTCTCTTTCTCTTTCTACAGGTCACAGCGGTCCAGTTACGTATATGAAGGTACAATCGCAGTACCTGCTCACCGCATCCGAGGACACATCTGTTATCGTATGGGACATGCAAACACTGGGGATGAAGTTGAGATTATGGTAATGTACTGAATGTTTCCGGCAAACTAGTCTAAACGCTACTTAGTCAGTCTGAAATGCTAGGTTAGGTGAGCATTTTCCAAGGCATGTGCACGAAATTGTGCGTAAACCGAAGGGTGGGTGTGTTTGTAACAATATATCATCAGCCAACAGAAAGTGCCACTTGGTGGTGGAATAATTTCAGCAAGCGTCCAATTGTGATCATGCAAGATGTTTTGAAGCTTTCGAACTAAGCTGCAGGACGATTAGTTTGACTTGAGTCTTTACACCTACTGGTATGAACGGTCTCCAGCTAGTGGCTAGTGTCGAAGCTACTACAGCTTATTTATGCAAATTTATTGTTGTTGGGAGCCTCGTGTTGTGCATGTCTGTTTGCTAGGACGAAATGGACGAAATTTAGTACCTACTAGTAGAACAATTACATTATACAGCAATGCCATAGAAAAAGTTAGAGTGGATCTTTTAATTTCGTAATGATTGGTAATTTTGTTCTTTATGGACGAATATTAGGTCCGTATTTTTTTTTACTTTCGTGTGTGGGAGGCCTGAAAAATTCGAATTTTTTCGTATTTTTTTTTTTAGATCATAGTGAAAGATTATTATATCTAGTTTTTAAGAAAAATGTGAATATGAACTTTAGCATCGAACAATATAACCGATTGTCTTGATTGTCATGGTCTCGGTTTTCATAGAAATTTCTATTTTTTATTTCTTGCGCACCTACAATCTTCCTTCGCTTAGTGGTGTCGTTAACTTCAGCTTTCATTTTGTTGCATATTTTACAACAAACCTTTGTTTTGTCTATGAAAATAAAATGAATTTAACATGGACGATTGCTGGGGTATAACCGTGGCCAAATAGAATTAGTGACCAGGGATCTATCTGAAATTCATTCTGACATGACATACCTTGACTTCGAATCTGGTTAAAACTGGGTGTACCATTTTTTGACGTAGACTACGTCTTCCGGGAAGGCACTAGGGGTTAATCGAAAATCTAAAATTGCGACCGTCACGAAAAGATGTAAGGTTTTGAACATAACTTATAACTTATAACTTTGTCATTTATAGATTAAATTAAAATCCAAATACACCAACTGATAGGAAATAACCCTCTTAAGCTGTAACAATAAACGCTTTTTAAATTTTTCATGAAAAACTGTTTTAAAAATGTACAAATAAAAAGTGATAATTTTATCGCTGTTTTCATGAAATAAACGTTCTCCCCAAACCTAGTCGTGATAATCGAGTACCATTTGGTTGCAAATCGAGCTGCTTGAATCTGAAAAGTTATTAAACAGCGCTGCTAATGTGCCCAGGGTTTTACAGATTTTCTGGAACATTTCAGAACCAAGAATCTGTATATACAGATTTACAGATTTTTATTTAAAATACAGATTAAACAGATTTTTACTGAATTCCAAATAAATGTTCTCATTATTTAAAAATCCTAGTACGATTTTAGTTTTCATTGAGCATACATTGTATTCAGAGTGCACTAAATACATTACCATTCAAAGTGTTTTTGGTTACTTCATACGTGAAATGTACGATTTTTAGAGTTGGTTGGAAATGCTATCTAATATGAAACTTTAGTGTGCAAATTTATAAACATTACCAATTTCTGAGTTGTTTTTATGTTCTAAGCCTCTGGATGAACATTAAAACAACTCAGAAATTGTTAATGGTTGCATCTTTTAGGTATAGACATTATGTTCCAAAAATTGACTAAGTAGCTTAAACAAATATTAGTTCAAGATCCTCTCTGTCAAAAATTTGATGATATCGAAATGTCAGAAAGTGTATATACATTATTCATTATACATTATACATTACTCATTATACATTATACATTAAACGTTATACATTATACATTATAAGAGGTACATTTAATATAAAATGTTTTTTTTTATCCTATAAATGTTATTTATGCAAAAATCAAATAGTTTTCAGTTGTGAAAGGCTCGGTGCTTGAAAATTTTTGCAATTAAGGAATTTATTGCATCTGGTATTAATTAGTTGGTTCAACAACTGTAGCATTAAAAGCAGGTTATTAGTAACGATGCAAATTTTTGGATGAATTGGGAATATAAGCTCAGTAAAGTAAAATTTACTAATAACAACTATTTTACGGAAGCATTTTTCATAATATTTGCTCAACGATTGATACAGATTTTAAACATAGATTTAATTACAGATTTACAGATTTTTTTTTTTTTTCAAACAAAATACAGATTTAAATGTGGCAACCCTGAATATGCCTCAAACGTGGTTAAACGTGACATTTCGAAAATGCCGGTAATTGATCAGTTTTCAAACAGAACTCAGCAACGGTTGCCAAAATTGAACTTCTAGTCGGTCCGAAATAACCACGCTCGTATAGCAGGGTTATTCGATAACTCATCTGTCATTTTTAACCACGAGTTAAATTTAACTCGCCCATTGCGACACAGCCTTGGAAGTAAAATTAGGGCCATCGATAAATAACGTATATATTTTTTTTGACCAACCTACCCACTTCCCCCTCGATGCGTGTTTTGCAATACACCTAATACATGGCCGGTCCCAACGTCTGAAACCCCTCTCCTTCCTCAACTACTACGTTATTTATGAAAGTTCCCTAATCATTAGGCACCACTGAAAATCAGCAGCTCACCACACAAAACGGGTTAGACATTTATGCGAAATTTCGGTATTCATCGTCAATATTTCGCGATCAGACCATTTAAGCTTAAAATCCCTCCATTTTATTCTCGGTACATCTTTAATATATTGATTGAATAAAAAAAATATTAATATGTTTTGTTTTTAAGATTTTGTGCGTTTTGTGAACGCACATTCATTATTTTGCATAAGGGGTGTTTTTGTGGTGAAAAAAAGGATTTCCCTACACAAATTACAGACTCCTGTACCAAGCACTGAAATTATCAGACGGTACCTCTATTTATGCTTTTAGATTAGCTATGAAAGTCCATCCTACCTGGAAAATTAAGTCCATAGAACGGTTTATAAAATCCAAGATTTTTTGCTGATGGGGGCGAGGCATAGCAAGCCGTTCGATTGCATAATTTTCCAAGTAGGAGGGACTTGCAATGCTTATCTCTTAGCAGTACCGTCGAGTTTTTTTTTTCAGTGCTAGGTACTGACATTCCTACTTGTAATGGTCGATTCTCTTCATCGATTTTCTCTTTACATTGCTACAGCTAAGCGAAACAATTCAAGCTGAAGTAGGTCCTAAGTAGCATTGACAAGATTCTCTTCGTCGACTTTCTCCTTGAATCCACTCGGCCCAGGTATTTTCAGCACACATATCGATAAAAGAAGTTTTTATCTAGCACCTTATACGACAAATACAAGAAACGGTTATTTGCTTAAGTTATTAACATAAGAGAAAGTCAACGAACAGAATCGAGCAATGCTACTTTGGATTTAATGCAATGTTCAGTTTGAACATTATCAGAAATTTGTTCATTGTAGTGCTATTACAGGTTGTATTGGTTATCAAAAGCAAACGCACCGATCAATGTTAATCCAAGCGAGTTATTAACAAAAGAGAAAATCGATCACGGTTACGTTCTTATGTATGCTATCTGTCGAATTTGTAATCTGTGATGGATATGGATGTTACTGTTTTCCCACCACAGAAACGCCCCGTGTTCTTATGATAAATTATACATGTGCGTCTACATAACGCGAACCAAAAATCTTAAAAAAACAGCAATATTTAGTAATATTTTTATGCTCAATCGGTAGACAAAAGATGTACTTATTGGAGAAATTGATGCCTAATCGATCATCCCGATCAATACTGGAGTGATTTGAGATTTGGGCGTAATTGCTTTTGTAAACAAACACTTCAATCACCGATTTCTCGATTCCTAGAAAACTAACAACACACTTACGTACTGTCATTTGGAATAGTTTGTTAGCGAGATTGAGCTTTTATTCGCAAGAAATCAGCGATTGACATATTTGTTTACAATAGCAATAACGCCCAAATCTCGAAGTTCTCCGGAACTACGAAATGTTGCATAACATTGGTGCAAAATTGTGCACTCCGTGTTTGTGTGTGCTTTTTTTTTTTAGTGTTTTGAAGTTGAATCGCTGAGGAAACCTTATTGCTGATCAATCTAAGTACCACATAAAATTTCAAGAGCACAAATATCAGCTCTCACGAAACTTATAACAAAGAAACTGGAACTTCACGTTTGCTGCAGTGCAGTACACAAAGAGTTTCAATTTCATGAGTGAAGTCACAACCGTCCACGATTTATGCCCTAGAAATCTTGATGTGATAGGGAATATCAGCAATCATGACGGTCATTGTTGGACGCTTCAATGAGTCACCTGAAGAAAGCCTTAGGTGGCGGCCAGGGTAGACGTGACACGCGACGCGACGCGATGCGACTCACACAAGAAATAATAATAAATAATAAGATTCCTTTGAATTGGTCGCGTCGCATCGTCTACCCTGGCCGCCATTTTACTGGATTTTGGTCACCCGATTCTGCTACAGTGCGCAGAGTGCATGCTTCCCTGTAAACTGTACTGCGTGCTGCACTAACATCTTTGGTGTCATCACGATTGGAGTTACCAGATTTAGTTTTAATTGAACTCCCAAATAAACTTCATCCGCAATTTGAAATCAGAAGTAACACTCAGACGGTTCTTATGATCTGCCTGGTCCACCGTTAGTGTTTTCCGGCATCGCTTTAACACACTACATTCGGTTGATCAGTTATTTTTTTATGATTTTGCAACTGGGATTTTGAAAGGAAATCTGCAAAATGGATTCTCGAATACAGCATGTTGATCTTACAACTACTAGCAGCATGGTGTCTGATTTGGACAATTTTCCAAATTCCTCGATTTCAGAACACAAAACAGAAAAAAAATGCAAGCTCTGTAGAAATAAAAGCCAACAAAAGTTAAGACTATCAACTAAAACAGAATAGAAATACTAGGTACACGGCTTTACAATGTTTGAGCACCGAAACACACCATTTTATACCCCTTGAGACCAAAAATGTCAATTACTTGGTTTTTGCTGTTGCCATGAAATCTTAGTCTCATATAATTACTGGTAATTTAATGAGCTCGATCCTCGTCACAAGCATGTAAAAGGTACGCGTTGATGAATCTTTGTAAATGGTGATTTAATGGTGATGATGAAGAAACCTTTTTCGTTCCTCGGATGAAGCCAGAGAAAAAGCATGTTATTTGCATTCATTTCATTCCACCCAGCTCATTCTAGATTACTTTCTCCTTGTTTTTCTTCAACAATATAGCGAACACATAGCCCCGGTAACGTGCTGTACGTTGGCATTGGATAATAAGTACATTATCAGCAGCAGCGAGGACTCCAGCATCATCGTAGCCCTGTTTGACTGTGGGAAGGTGGTAAGTAACATTTTATTTGATTTAGCTTTGCACTTCCGATAAACAGACCTTGATTGTCCTGAATCTGTGAACATCAAACAACTATCTATACATGGTAGCGTTGAGAGGTAGAAATTCAAATGAACTTATCAAAGGTATCAGCTTGTTTGCTGTAATCAGTGTGTGGGTTCATGTTCATACACTACAAATCGAAGGCTACCCGTATACACACATTTGGAAACTAAATTAACGCCACTTTATTCTGCGGACGGTAGAATACACACTTTTTGATTGATTATCCTTTTCATAAAATTTGTATATGAGTATTCTGTCTAATTACTGCCTTGTTTCAACAATTGGATTAAATGCACGCATCTAGCAGAAGCGCGCTAATGGGGTAATGAAGAATTGGATCAGTGATAATTTTATACAAAGTTAATTACAACTGCTTTGCATCGTGCCAGGGATGAAGCAACTTGTTGAGTTGTGAATCGTGAACTGTTCATTAAAGTTTAAATGTTATATTTACCATTTTGCGACCTTTAGATAAAAAGAAACGCCATCATTTGTTCATTTGTTGATTGCTGGTTGGATAGAGGTGTTCACCCTGGTTGTTATGAAGCATATGATAATAGATATTTGCATACCGCCATTCATCATGTCTATTCCTACTAATGAGATGCGATGTTGAAACAATTTTTTACGTATATAATTCTGCTCATCAGGCGAATATTCATAGGCGCGATAAGTGGGTGGGACAGGTAGGACATGTTATGAGTTTGTATTCATGGTTTCCGATTATCTAACTTTAAATACATTGCTTCACACCATGAGAACTCTTCTGGAATAAGTCCAAAAGCTTTGTGACAAACAGGATTTATTCAAGGAGTCATTCGTGATTTGTAGTTTGGCGTGAGAGGCTTGGATGCTAACTACTACGCGGGTCACCGCCGTTGCACATTTTTTGCCAGTCGATGTTCCTTCCCAACTAACAATTTTCACAATGTAAACGCTTTACTCATTTAATTTATACCGCCTCAAGCTGTATTCAAACGTTATACGATATGAAGAAACCTTTACTCCACCTCTATACAAGCAAATCTGGCGAACTTAGTCAGCTACTTATAGCTGTTGGAACGGTCGGGAGAAGCTCTTATTGCATATCCATTAACGCTTCTATACAGCTTTTATCCTGCTGTTTAGTTGTGTGTGAACTTGAAACGCGCTTATTCAATCTTTTCCCGATTATCCAATAATCACTACACAGCTTTCTCTTGAAACCGGGTTAAATACTGTTTACGCTTTTTTATGAAGGAATTTATTGAGTTTATTTGGCTGTGAATCAAATTAATCGAAATTAGTTACAAATCGTCACCAAATTATTTACCCTGCACCGGAACCTGGAATCGAACTCGAGACGACCTGATTGGCAAACCTTGACACTACCAACTGTGCTACGCCAACACTTTGAACTTATGTAAACAAATCAACATTCCCTTCTACAACAAAATCGCTGAGTAGAGGCTTTATAATAGTGCACATGAATCACTTTTCTCGACTAGTTATAAAAGAGCAGAGTAAAAGCTGTAAAACTGCACACGTCTAAAAATAAACCTAGTTGACTGTGAAAATGCTTCCGAAGTTGCTCTAACACAGTCTATAAGCTGAGTACAGGTTGTTTAGTTGTTGAAAAAGCACTTTTGATGTTTATGTTATTCTGCAAGAGTTGTTGGTTGTGTAGAAGCCATCAAATGAGTAATATATTCACTTTGATAGCTTTGTTTTGCAGCTACAAGTGTAAAGTTGATTAGTGTGTGTATAGAAGTGACATTAGCGTTTATTGGCTGATGTTATTCAGTGCGACTGACAAATTGAATAATGGTTGTGAGAAAGTTGAGTAATAGCTCTCCAAAACTATTTTGCTAGCTTTTGCTTGTAGCTGTATCTGCAGCTTCTTTTCAACTACTTTAAAGGGTGATACGGTCAAAATTTGGTCAAGGGAAAACGCGTGTAAATCGGTGAAATCGTTTATTTACAAAATCAAATTAAATTTCTTTTTCAAGTTCAATTAGTATAAAATTCAGGAAAAATATTCAGTTAGGCTTCCGCTTTTCCAAATCCGAATTGCCGGGCCTTACGCTTGACCCCTGCCATCAGATTTTGTACAGCCACCTTGTCCTCCTTCTTCGCCGCAGAAAGCCAGTTTGCCTTGAACTGCTGCTCGCCCTTAGCAGTTTTTTTGGTCTTCTTTAGGTTCCGCTTGACAATAGCCCAGTATTTCTCAATTGGGCGGAGCTCTGGGTTCTTGTCCTTGGGAACCACCTGCACGTTGTTGGCGGCGTACCACTCCATGGCCTTTTTACCGTAATGGCAAGATGCCAAATCCGGTCAAAACAGTACGGAACAACCGTGTTTCTTCAGGAAAGGCAGAAGACGTTTATTCAAACACTCTTTCACGTAAATTTCTTGGTTGACAGTCCCGGAAGCTATGAAAATGCTGCTTTTCAAGCCACAGGTACAGATGGCTTGCCAAACCAGATTTTTTCTTTGCGAACTTTGACAGTTTCATGTGCTTGAAAACATCTGCTACCTTTCCCCTTCCTTTTGCCGTATAAAACTCCTGTCCCGGAAGCTGCTTGTAGTCGGCATTGACGTAGGTTTCGTCGTCCATTACCACGCAGTCAAACTTCGTCAGCAGCGTCGTGTACAGCCTCCGGGATCGCGCTTTGGCCGTCGTATTTTGTTTATCATCGCGATTTGGAGTCACTACCTTCTTGTAAGTCGATAGTCCGGCTCGTTTTTTGGCTCGATGCACGGTTGTAGACGATACACCCAGCTTATTTGTGGCATCTCGGAGAGAGAGGTTAGGGTTTCGCTTGAAACTACCGGCAACTCTCTTTGTCGTCTCAGCGGCTTCCGGTTTTCGATTTCCCCCCGATCCAGACTTCCTGGCTGTCGACAAACGTTCCCAAAACACTTTAATTACATTTGTAACGGTTGATTTGGCAACTTTTAGCGATTTTGCCAACTTTGCGTGCGAGTAGCTCGGATTTTCGCGATGCGCGAGCAAAATTTTGATACGCTGCTCTTCTTGCTTGGACGGCATTTTGACAACTGAAGAGTGAATTCCAAAATCAAAATAGGAGCAACATTCTACACACACACACCTTCAAAATGAGGGGTGTTCAGGTTTTTTAAATGCAAAATTGAAAGAAATACGTCAAGTTGATATTGACCAAATTTTGACCGTATCACCCTTTACAGTACAACGCTGGAAAAGTTGGCTTACAAAGCTGAAAATGTTAGTTGGGTTGTGAGGTCTAATGGAACTTGAGATGGTTCTGCAGATTGAGGCCACACTAAATTCAAGGTAGCCTTAAGTGTGCAGCTTTAGAATTGATTAAAAGATCCATAAAATATTGAAAAACGTTCCTTAAAAAAACATCCAACACCGGAGAAAATTCCTTAAAAAGTGTGAATAATGCATAAAAATATCAATATGGTTCATATTTTATGTAAAATTTTAGAACACAATTTTAAAAATGTTCCGCTGAATTTCTAAAGAATGAGCACAAATAGCATGAATTACCCATAAACATATTGCAAATGATCCATCAAACTTTCAAAAATGCACTAACGAAGTTGATCCATAGAAAATCAAGTTTGGGCACTTAAAAATATACGCACGATCTATTAATTAGACATGCATTGTTTATGTTTTGGACTCCATTGTTTTTAAATAAGATCCATAAACCTTTCAACTTTTCGAGGTTAATAGAACAAAATTAAAAAATTAGCGTCCATAACATGAACAATTTATGTCTAATTTATGGATCATGCTCATATTTTTAAGTGTGTGAACTTGATTTTCTATTAAACACTTTCTTTAGTTTCAGTTTCATTGCTGAATGTTTTATGAACCATTTGCGATATGTTTATGGGTAGTCAGTCAAATTTCAATGCTCATTCTTTAGAAAATCAGTGGTAATTTTTTGCAATTGTGTGATCATTCACACCTTTTTAGGGATCTTCATTTGGGTTTTATGGATCATTTGCACAGGAAAAAATTATTAATTTTAATTGTGATGTAAATATTCATTCACGTTAACTTGTGTTTCATTTCACGCAAACGAGCAACTTGTAAGCAATGTTGTTTACAAAAATGAACTTTGGTATTAAATATTTGTGACATTTCATTAAAAGTCTCAGAACTTTACTTGGTTTATAATGTAAACTTATATGATATGTGGCATGGCGATATGTGCATCATATTGAACAGAAATTTACACTACTTTTTCGAACTGTGTGGGTCATATGGTGTTTTTAAGGAGTGTTTAAAAATTTATTATGGATCATTTATTGGTTTTTATATTCAAAAATATGTTTGCCCTTAATTTATATTATGATGAGCAAATGATCGCTAATGGAGATCATTGATAACCTTCAACAGACAATCCAATTATACACGAAACGTAACGTAAACGTAAGATTCTATTGCAGAAACGAGAAACGTAAGATTCTATTGCAGATTTGTATGAAAAGTAGCAACATGAACTGATTCTGTAATGTGATTCGTAAAATATTTTTATAATTTTTTATGTACCCTTATTTTTCGAACCAAGTTAAGGGAAACTAATGCATTGCGCTCTTCATCTCGCGGAGGTTTTATACTAAAATATGCATTCTGGAAAAAAAAAAATTGTTTGTGCGCTGCAGTACATTGTATTGATAGTTTTGCTATTCGTGTCGCTTCACTATTGTTCAGAATAGTCAAGTTGAAATCGTCACAAAAAGCGTAAAAATAGCACTGTTTGATCCTTAAAAGCACTCTCCCATGAAAGCCATATAGGGTATACGTCCTTAACCTCGGTCTAATATGCAGCCATAGATTACGTTTTTAATCATAACTCATCAATTAATTTACCTGCAAACGATATTCTACTGCTAAATGGTATGCTTAGATATGCTTATCATGTCGTTTGCTATCAGGAACCGCAAAAAGTTGAAAAACTTACTTTTTT